ATAGTATTACATTTACATTTAATGATTTGGATATTGAAAATTTAAATAAACAGTAATAGGAGGTAGCTTAACAGCTTACATTTTATCTAAGACCTATTTATTCAATAAATCAGTCCTTGATCTTGAATCAGGAATATTGAACTACTGATTACTAAAATCAATTACTGCCTTCTAGTAGCAAATTCAGTTTCCAAATTAAATTTGTTGGCATGAAAATATGTCAATAGAAAATGGTATCATTCTGTAAATATTCTGAACTGATTATAACTGTTTTGTCTGCCAAAAGTACAACTCATTCTTTGTTTCTATATCACCGTTGATTCATTTCCTGACAACTGAAGATGTTTTAGAAGTAGCTAAGTCACACATCAGTAAGAATTTCTTATGTACTTTTCAAATGTTCAGCTACCTTAATGTATATTAAATTGGCTACTGATTAAAACAAACAAACAAACAAACAAAAAACCTCTGTAGAGAACATTTTTGAGTGGAACCTAGGAATAGGGAAGAAAGAATATGAGATCAGGTTAGAAAGCCATAGCATAGGCAATAGTATATACTCCAAATTTTGAAAAACTGCTGTACCATCAAAGTCCTCACATCTAGATTACCTAATGAAGAAAGTAATTGAAAATTGTTATTTTAATGCTTTTAGGGCTTGGGACATAGCTCAGTGGTTGAGCACTTGCCTAGCATGCAGCAGGCATGGCAAAAGAAAAAAGAAAAAAGAAAAGAATGTTTTTAAAAAGTAATTTGTGAGTAACCTGTCAAGTATAATCTGAATAAAAGAAAAACCAATCTCTCAATTTGGATTGCAGAACAACTGCTTCTATCATTGTTTAAATATTTTTGACACAGCATGTATATTGACATATACAAAAAACACAATTTATTAACTCACAAGTAAAATAGGCATATTCTTCAATTTTTAGCAACGTGACCTTTCATACACAACTGTCCATTCTTCAGGAAAGTGCCCAGTTTAAGGCAAAATGAAAAACTAATTATCTTTGCTAAGGCTGAGTTAGCTTGGTTATTATGCTGATTTGTCCAACTGAATGAGCTGACCTACCCAAACTATGATTTTTTTTTTAAAAAATCATTATACATAAAAGAACATTGCTTCTGCCAAAAAAATCCCATCACAGAGCCTCCAGTGAACAAGAATGAGTGTGTTCTGCTGTGACTTCTCTTTTCCTGTAGAAATATCTGGGATTATTGATATGGAGCACTGAAACAAGACAGGGATTTAAATAAGGAAAATGACTGTAGGTACCTGAAACACCATGGAGCCTACAAATTGGACCAACATCATCTCATTGCCACTTTCCCTGTAGTTCTTCATGAAGAGTAAATGAAAGCCTATCTCAGAGCCCACTGTATATCTTTCCAGTGTGTTGTTTATGTAGGATACCAAGTTGCAATTAGTTGCCATAAAAATACACCATGCAATTAATCTCAATCTTATTCTCTATTTTAGCTTTAAAACTGAAGTCCACAGAAATCCCATATATTCCTCACATTTATATAAAATTCAACTAAAACAATCCACTCCTTTCATATTCTTTGAAAATAGTAAAGAAGTAGGTGGTCTTGTGAAAGAAAAAAAAATTGGAAATATTTTCAGACATTCTCCCTTTATATATTGACCTCGTGTCAGTGAGAAAAATGGAAAGTAAGACACTGACTGCTTGGTTTCACACTAGTTTTAAAGAGATGTTAGGTAACATTTCAATAATTGCAATGTAGAGACAATGATAGATTTAGAAAATATTCATTTTTAAGCAAATTGAAAACTCAATTTTTTTCTAAAAGTTAATAAACCTTTAAACTCAATAATAATCAAATATTTAGAATCACTCCATCAACATGTCAATGACCTCTAATTTATGTCAAATAATCTAGTGCTTTAAATTATCCAAATCATCAGATTTGTTAAAATTGTTTCTCATTGATTCATATATTGACTCTGAATAAGAAACTTAAAGTTTTTTCCAGACTAATATGAAATAAGAATAAATTTAGAGGCAATCATCAGACTTTTTATCTTAATGTTCGCAAGACAGATGTCTCAGAAACATAGGTCAACAAATACTCCTGAACACATAAATAAAGAAAAGGAAAAAAAATCTTATAGCATGAAAAAGAGGACCTTTGCAGATCTCTTCATCTTGAGAGAAGAGTATGTAGCATGTCAGAAATCATCATTGTTTAAATATATAATAAGTGAGGTTACTTATAAAATGAACTCTACCATATTTAAAAATGCTATTAATCAGCAATATTTACTTTATGATAATTTAAAAATTAAATCAATCTAAAGTAAAAAAAATTGCAACAAGTGAAAATCAATCCTTCTTTATTTGAAAAAGACTTAAAATCAGAGAACATTCTTTGCATTCAATAGTGATTATTTTTAAATCAAGGCACATTTTAAAAATTATTTGGCTGTCTAATTTATAGTCATATATTAGCTGCTTGGAAATATGTCTGTTGTTTACCCAATAAAAGAATAAAATTCGATAGTTAATGCTATAGGGAAAGTCTGATATATCCTATAAATATTCAATTAATGCTCTAATGTTTTAGGATTTATTGTACTAATGAACTGACAAAATGTTACTATCAGGAGTTTATGCAAAATGCATTACCTTTTTTATTTTAGTCATACTTTCTCTAAAACAACAAAGGTTGGCATCTTAACATGCTTTTCTTATCTGCTTCTGTTACTGCAAATCCAAGATCATCTTGCCCATACTAATCTTTTATGGCCGAGGTCACTGAAGTTGTGCCAAAATTCAATAATGATGTTCAATCTAATGTAGCAATGCACTTATCTCATTGCTGGAATGTAGACCATTTAGAGCAAAGCACTTCATTGAAATGATGAAATGCTCACCTAAAATGCCCTCTTGTAAACATTTCTCACACATTAAAAATTGTAGATAAAATACTGCAGTGTTAAAGCTTGCTCTTCAACACAGAATAAAAGTTGATAATTATTTAATGCCTCTTTTAATTGGGGGAAAGAAAGTATTTTATGTGCCTGATGTATAATTGAAGGAAACAAAAAACCTTCTCACATTAAAAAACGATAAAGGTCCTTAATTTAAATTGACAACCACAAATGAATTTAACTTTTTCTGAGAGTGAACTTTGCACATTGTAAAATGGTATCAGTTTTAAAAAAGAAAATGAGAAAAATAATGAATGAAAAATCATTTTACTCTTCACAAATACGAAAAAATCAACAAACATTACATTTTTTTAAGGAAATCCGTTTCTGAATATTAGTCTTAAAAATGTTAACAGAGAAAATGTAATCAGGAAAACTAGCTGATAATTCAGACAAAAGCCTACACTATGGAAATACTCAGTTTCAACTCATGGGCCCAGCAAATGAAAGTAACTTTGTTAGCTATTACAATACAGAATTTAACTTAAATTGTTCTCAATGCTTACTTAATTCTACCTCAAATCAAAAATATTTTCAGTAATCATGTATGCAATTGTTTTTTCTGAACCCACAAACTAATGTATAAATGTATTCTAAGAAAGCTCTATTTTTAGTTGCATTTACTTTGCTATGGCCTGTAATTAACAATAATAACAACAACAAAAACCTATAATTTTCAGTTGAAATATTTCTCAATAAATTTTAGAGAAATATTCTGCAGTTTCAAGTGATAAGTAAAATGATTGATTCAAAGTAATCAAAAATAAAAACAGAATTGGAGCGAAAATTAGAAAGGAAATAGAATTCAAAATAATTTTTAGGTGCGAATTGTGCTAAATAAAACAAACTATCTTATTTTTCCTGCACCTGTTTCATGATAGTAAATGTAAAGTGTTTTGTTTTTATTCCAGATATTGAAATATCTACCTATGTTAACATCTTTTTAATTAAAACAAAGATTATATTAGGTGAGAATTCAACTGTGAACTCACAAAGAGAACCTATCCAGGTAAATTTCTATTTAAAGCCATTCATAACTTCTATGGATTTTAATATTGACCAATATGATAATTTCAAATACTCCTTGCCTCAATCCCACTAATAGCAAGTTGTATTCAGTATCATAATTCTGTCCACTTTACTATAAAAATTTATATATGTAATTAAATTATGAATTTATGTACACACATTTAAATTGACCTGAAGGGAATCAAGATGCATTTTCTAACACATAAAGTTAATTTTCAGTTTGTTCTATTACTCAAATTAGCAATATTTTCATATACAGTGATAAATATATTATAAACATACCTGTTAAGGTAGATTTCTCTTAAAGGATAATACATTTGGCTTTCAACAATATTTTAAAGAGAAACATGACTAATTTTAAGTAAAAGATAAAGTTGTACTCTAGATTATAATAGGCACATAAGGCCGAATTCGTATTTAGGATAATCATAAGAGGATTTCTTTAAAAAGAACAGAGCAACTGGATTTTACTTTTCTACTTTGAACCGAATTATCCTGCAGTTGTACTTATGTTTAATGTGTAAAGATATTGCTAAAAATAGCTACACAAAACACAAAGTTGTTAATATCTAATTACTATAATATTTCATTGCAACTTTTGAATTTAACTCTTCAAACACTGGAGTATAAAATAATGTATTTATTTACTTGACAAAATTCAGTTACAGTAGTATCAAAGTTAGCAATAGTTTCAAAAATTAGGTGTAAGTGACTTTGAACTTCTGAATTTCTTTTATGAAAAATCATCATTTTATTGCAAGACGGTAAATATAATTATTTGAAGTTATTCGCTCAGGTTCACATACCAAACATTTCTATTAAAACATTTGTTAGAAATAATATCAAGGAGTTAACTATTTTTTAAACAAAGGTTAACTTTTTTTTTTCAAATCTCAAACGCCATGACGTTTCAACATAAACAGAAACTCCATATAAGAAAATGTTAAGCTTAATTGTGCGCACAAAGAAACTTCTAGAAAACTTCATTACTTACTGTTCACTGAGTATTACTTACAGAGATTAACAGTTTTAAGAATTCATCTGTTATTTATCCCGAAGTGTTTTGAAAAACCTTTTCACACTGTATGCTTCTCAATGAGATGATCACCCCTACTCTGGTCTGCTGAGAAAAACAAAAAATCGATGAATCTTCTTCTTTAAGACTGTTCTTGTTCTAATGTAATTTAGGTGGCAACAAGCAAGGAATTCATAATGATAAAAGCAACAATGTGAGAAAAAATTTTAAATGCTTGTTTCATATTTACTGTATAAAGTCATTTTGACATGCCTACACAACTGGTTGTGGCAGCTTTCAGACATGATTTCTAATCAAAAAAAAAAAAAAAAAATTCTCCAGGTTCTTTAGAGAAAGCTTGCCGCTGGGAAGTTGATTTTGGCCAAGAGCCAAAATCATGTGCAAAGGGGCCTCATTACAGATTCATGGCAGCCTTCAGCACTAACAAAAAATGTGACCCAACAAGCTACATCAGCGACTAAAATTAAAAAGTAAGAGACAAAGACAACTTGCTTAATATTCCTTCTAAAGCAACATTAAACTTTTTTTTGGTAATTAAACCCTTGTTAGTCTAATGCAGTGTTCCTCTGTCCTTAAATGATTGTACAATTACTCTTTAAAACTTGTTAATTTCCCTTCTAAGTAACACTTTCTTTCTGTGACAGTTTACAAAGATTTCGCTATATAATAAAACTCTATGTGCACTGTAATCGGTTGAACAGCAGAAAACAGAATCGTAAAAATGCAGACTACAGTGTTCCTTTAAGACTTAAACAAACAAACAAACAAAAAATAAGCAAACAATAGTCAGCCTATTTTAAACTTCTACAGAAGTGAACAAGCACCCTCTAAACTTACATCGATTGTGACTAACCAGTTCCACTGCCCAAATTTCCCCCCAAAAGGAGATTTGATACATAGCCTTACCTAGATGTCTTCTGGCTTTTCTGCAGATCAAAAGTTTCCTGCCTAAGCACACAGATATTCTTTCACGAACCATAAAGGCCCTTTTATGAATCCAGTACTGTAACAGGCTTGCTTTCCACACCACATTGAGAGCCCTGTGCGTCAGCTCTCAAGATAAAAAACATTGCTAATTCACAATTAGTGGGAGAGGTTGTCTACTAAAGAATTTATCTTAACGAAAGAAGGGAAAAAAGAAGCCTTCTCTCTCTCTCTCTCTCTCTCTCTCTCTCTCTCTCTCTCTCTCTCTC